CCTGACTTGTCATTTTCACAGAACTGTCCTTTATCCTGTTATCATTTTGTGCTTACTTCCTGTACAAGTACTGTGTGAGTCCTTGGAAGTAGAAAAAGCTGTGTCATTAAGTAGATAGGTATTTGTGCTCAGTGCAATGTGGAGAGAAGAGGCAGTATTACAGGGGGGAAACTGCAAACGCACCAGATATTCTTGTTGAGGATAACATATATACTGTAAACACTCATTACTTCTCCTTTAAGGATGAATGACAACAACAGAACAGTAACTGTTAGGGGTGTTTTCCTCATCTATAAATAGACTTCCAGAAGAGATTCCTCCCAGTGGCTGGCTCTGCACCAACACTACAGGTGTAAACAGAAAACCACAGGTATTGTGAGCTTGGCACAACTTTTGTTATAGCCTAATATCTGCTAACATATATCATCTTTCAGTTAATATCTTAACAATAATGTTGCTTTTACATTGTCTTAAACATAGCAACACTCACTGTCCTGGATTTGTTTTGCCTTTTCCAGATTATGGGCTTCATTACAGCTTTTAAATTATTTACCTTGGAGCAGAATAAAGTCTTTCAGCATACAAAAAAACAATATTCAGCTCTGCGAGAACATTGTGTAATCTTTATCTCATGATGGCTGTCTTCATTCAAAATGACATAACAAGCTGTGCTGCCAGTGCTGAGCAGTTCCCTCTATTATGAAAACACAGAATTGTGTCAGATCTGTACAATAAGGTTTAATATTTTGTTGGTGAGGTGTGCCGACGCTCTATTGACAGCTTATTTTGGCTGAGTAAACCTGAATGATAGCTGTTTTTCCCCCAGTTGCATATTTAAATGTTCAAATAATTTAAGATTAAACCAGTGCTTTCCACTGCATTTGGCTTGTGATCCCCTACAAAAAAACAACAACCTATTATCTAGTTTGGGCCTCTTTTCACATTTCAGATGCCTTCGAGTTGTTGCCTTTCCAATAGACATTTCTCTTTTTAACTTCTCAGATGGTTTCATTTAAATAACTGCCTGAGGCCAAAAGAAGTAAAAATTTTCAAAATAAAATATGAAAATAAATGAGTGTGGCAAAACTTAGCTAATTTTCTTTCATATCCCATTGGTCATCTCATGTCCAGTCAGATATATTTTGTGGCCCTTAGAACGGGGCACAGCCCTCATGTCTGTATGGATATACTCATCTACATACACGTTATAACACGCATTGATACATTTATATTAACCGTCTAATAAACACACCAATATATCATTCACGCTTTTTTTAACAACTGTTTGTTTACATTTTGCAGAATGTTTCTGTAGAATTTTGAATGCAGGACCTTTACTTGTGCTAGGGGTATTTTTACTCTTTGGTACTGGTAATATGTTTAGGTTAGGAGTCTGAGTACTTCTTTCACAACTGCATTCACCTGACTTTAAATCAGGGGTGACCAAACAGGAAGTTGCATGAAGAGGAGGTTCGTGACTGCAATTTCACACCAGGGTCCCTGACCTTACTGATACGAACAGGATATAGATGCACTCAGCAGGA